CGCCCGGGTTTTAGAATCCCCAAATAAAAGAAAAAAAAACCCCACAGGTACAGGTTTTAATGACAACCTGGTGTCTGAATCTCCATCCAATGCCTTTGCTTTCCCACCCACTGAACTGCATTTTCCACAGCACATCTACTTAGCGCGACCCGGACTTACTCTCGCACATGCTAGAGATACCTTTTCCAGCTGTTTTGTTCTCTCTGTCCTCCGAAAAGGCCTTTTTATCCCTTCTCATCACTTCTACTTTATCTGAGCGTTTCAGACTTGTTTTTGGCATTTACACGGCGGCGTAGGGCTGCGCGGGCAGACCCTGAAAGCGTCGCTCCTTCAGTGATAACTCTGTGTGCAGTGGGTGCAGTTTCTCATTTTTCTGTTATCACGGATGACAATTTCCCTTTTCCCATTGTGTCCACTGTGATACTGTGCAACGGGTGTGTTACAATACTCCTAGCGTTTTCTTCCATCTTGTTTCCTGAATTCTAATAAAATAATGATTTTCTTTCAAAAATCCAAATGAACTGGAATCTGTTAGGGTCTTCTATCGACAGCTTCTTTTGCCATGGCAGAGATCTCTGGCTTTTTAACTGGAAGCATAACTGAAGGTAACGATGTTTATTTTGCTCTTGCAAAAAGAAAATATTTATGTGTGTCCTAAGCTAAATGCAAGAGACTTCACATGCTTCACATTACGATTCATGCCAGGACAGACATCCACCACAAGAAGTCCTTAAATTCCACATTATTCATTCGTGTTAACCCTTTGGGTTTGGGGTTTTTTTTCAGCACAGTCAAAAACTTTGCAAATAATTTTTACGCTTGTACATCACCTCTTCTAACGATTAGGACATGTATGACAGTTGAATACCGCCTATAGAGTTTCTTGCAAGAGGTGGAGAAGAAAAGGGGCATGGTGTTTTGAAGGCATTGGTGGATGTGCTGTGTGGGAGAAGACCTTGGGGGATGTTTGGACACATTGCAGGGCTAGAAACCTGTGTCCTGTTTCCTTTAACTTTTTGGAGGTGATGCCCGGTGCATCTCCGACACTGCCCAAAGCACAGCTGCTGTCTGGCAGCACAGGGCACTCCTGCCTGACCCAGCGCTTGGCCTGCAGCGTGGCACAGCTCGTTCCTCAAGGGACACAAGAGCCTCTCCATGGCCGCTGTAGGCCACTACTTTTAATCGCTCAAGCCTTTTCCTTTAACAAGGTGGTGGGTTTTGAATGGTTAAGAGGGTACGGAAGCTCTGCACTGTTGCCGTTGCTTTTGGCTCTTAGTTTTGCACCTGAAGTGAGTTTTTGAGTTGTTTGTAGTCCTTAAGACCCGCAGCAGTGCACCCGGGCCACTAGAGAAGGACTGAACCCCCTGCTAGGCTGGCCCTGGAGATAACCTTCCCTCACAAGAGACCTTACGGTGTTAGATGCAGGGATGCTGCTCAGGTCTCTGGCTCCCAGTATTCAGGACTTTAAGATCCCAGTGATGAACAAGGCTGAGCTCAGTTAGCAGTGTCCCACAGAGGCGGCGTCAGTGCCACAGAGCTCCCACGTCCTCCCAGTCGACACTGTGGCTGTTTTGCACGTCAGACACGCTGCCTACAAAGGCAGTCAGCGCCTTATCCTGATCTGCAAAGGCACTATTATTTCTGTCCATGTTTACTAATAAATCAATGCAAAGTCCGTCACATAGATGATGTCGTAGCGTGAACACTTCCTTTAGCATGAATCCCTTAAACAAGAGATCTCCCCAAACCTCTTAATCAAGTTCAGCACAACAGCAAATGTGACACTTGATATCAGTTCGCTCTGCTCTGGCAGCTCATCGATCAGGGAAAAGAGACAACCGACCTCCCTAGGGCTGACTAAAAGCTTGATCTGAGTCCGTGAAAAATGTTGTGATGTAAAAATGAAGGCCTTCTCCTTTCTTACCTCAGTTTGCAATAGAACAACTTCACAGACTTTCTCCTGAGTTACTCAAATGGAAAGGAGGGTCGGTCCCTGTGGCATGTGGTCCCCCAGACTCGTCTGCGCAGAAGGGAAGCTGGGCACGCAGCCTGGGTAAGCGCCACACTGTTTTCACCAGACTCCTGGTCTGAATTACCAGGGGACAGGGATTGCATATGTGTCTGTATGTGGAGCTACAGGTGAGCTTAGATTACATCTCAGCTGTTTGCAGCTCCTAAATGCATCTATAGCCATTTATTCCAGAGAAGTCTCTTGGTAGTTTCAAGTACTCTGCTAGTCTTAACATGCAGTGGATCTAGAAAATAGCTGCTCATTTTTTTCTTATTGGTATATTCTGATAATAATTTATTTTCTTTGATAACACATCAGCAAAGTTTCTTCCATGTGACATTTCATGCATCCTTTCTGAGTATTTCAATTTATAAACCTACTTCTTGTGAGACATACTACATACAAGGTAAGCGATTAATAGATAGTCTTCTCTCAGAGAATCATAGAATGTTTTGGGTTGGAAGGGATGCCTAGAGGTCATCTAGTCCAACCCCCTGCAGTGAGCAGGGACACCGCTAACTAGATCAGGCTGCTCAGAGCCCCGTCCAACCTGGCCTTGAATGTTTCCAGGGATGGGGCCTCCACCACCTCTCTGGGCAACCTGTTCCAGTGTTTTACCACCCTCATTGTAAAGAATTTCTTCCTTATATCCAGTCTAAACCTACCCTGTTCTAGTTTAAAACCATTACCCCTTGTCCTGTCACAGCTGGCCCTACTAAAAAGATTTTCCCCATCTTTCCTACAGGCCCCCTTTAGGTACTGAAAGGCCGCAATCAGGTCTCCCCGCAGCCTTCTCTTCTCCAGGCTGAACAACCCCAACTCTCTCAGCCTGTCCTCATAGGAGAGGTGCTCCAGCCCTTGGATCATTTTAGTAGCCCTCCTCTGGCCCCGCTCCAACAGTTCCATGTCCTTCTTGTGTTGAGGGCTCCAGAGCTGGACGCAAGAAGCATTAATATCAGCTTTAGTAAGTATGTTACTCGATTACTTGGCATTGATTCTGCCGTGTTAGGTGGGTGCATTGCTCCCCAGCACGCCTTTGTGCTTCAGGCCAGCATGGAAAAGGAGGGACAGGCTCCTTAGCGTCAGAGCATTTCTGGAGGAGCCTGAGCGATGGAGTAGAAAAGCTCACAGCAGCTGTCTACAATGATGCAAACGTTTAAATCCGGACCCTTAATCACAGCAGGCAGGTACTGTCAGTCACAAACACACAAATGTCAAGAATTTGTCACTTAGTTTCAGACTGTAATCATTTTCCTACTTTATTATCTGACTAGTTTCTCACCATCCCATTAGTTTGTCACCCTGACTGTGACCAAGTAGCATCATTTTTATTACTTTTCTAATGGGTGCCCCTGTTCTAATTTTACTTTCATCCTTCTTGCGGCGTAAGAGATCCTATAACTGGTACTGGTTTTCATCACTCTCTTGCAAATCCTTCTAAGCATAAGGAACTTCAGTTATCAGTCCTAGCAGTGTTAGCTATAAAACAAATAGAAAAAAAAATTCCTTTGTTAATTTTGGTCAAAATTTTGCTCTGTGCTTTGAAAAAAATTAATTCATTACAAGTGTATGGGCAGAAAGGAGAAAAAGAGAATGAATCTGCAGTGTCCAGATCTGGCATATTCTGAATCAAATGGCAGAAGATGAGCACACATCTGGGAACCCGCTTTTCTACACCTCACACATTTATCACGTGGCTTGAACCAGCTCTCCTTTATGTCAGATACACAGTTACTACACCAGTGAAATCACCGTATAAATACCTTATCATCATCATGTATCATGTATCTTATTAAGTATTGCCTATCTTATTAAGCTCTTACTACAAATCCTTTGGCAGGGCTCTGAAATAGCTGCATTAGTGCTGCTGAAGCTGCAGATTATAGACCTGGGCACAGATCATGAGAGAGTGGCTCATGAAATCCTCCTAAACAGGTCTGTAGTGCGTACATGCTTTCAAGCCTCGTCTCCCATTACATCCCCTTGCAAGGGAGATAGATATATATATATATGTGTATACACACACACACACACACACACACACACACACACCCTCGTCTCCCATTACATCCCCTTGCAAGGGAGATATATATATATACACACACACACACACTCGGGGATGGGAAGTCATTTATGTCTCAACAGACAAAGACCTTATGTTTGAGATACTGAAAAAGTAAAAAGCTTTGACATCGAGCCCCCCATTCACAGATTCAGCTGGCTAAGCGTGCAAGAAGTGATGTGATGCTGCAACTCACTCGCTTTCTGCAGCTCACCCCCTGGATTCATCCTGACAAGTGAAACAAGCCGCCGACTCTCCTTCTCCAAATCCCTACCCGAACTGCCCCCCTCTTGCTGGCGCTCTGCGTGTGCACAGCAGGCTCCCAGAGAAAAGCGATGGGCCCAGGTGTTCTCTTTTGACCGATACCCTTGCCCACCTACTTAGTGTCTTTCTCTCTACCATCTGGAGAAAAGAAAATAAATGTCAATTTATTTTAAAACCAGGAAGGTACAGTTTTCCCTCCTTGACATACAGTTAAAAAACCAGCAGACCTCTGAAGTCCAGCATTGCCTTCTTCTTTAAGGTGTGCCTGGATAGGATCCAGCTGCCTCTCCATCCTCCATGAGGGAGGCCATTTGCCCTGGCTCCGTAGCCTCAGTTCAGGAAAATCCACCCTTTGTTCTTCTGTGAGCATCTTTTCGTTGTATCGATGGATCTCAGTGCAAGGCCAGTTGGTAGCGGCCCCGTACAGATGGGTGTTAGGCACCTAAGTGCTTATTTTGAATCCGTGCCTTAATGCTTTCTTCCTCCTTCAGCCGGTAGCTGGGGACCAGCTGAGGCCGCAGCTCAGCAGGGATTCCTCCTACTGGCACAGTCACCACGGCGTGTGCCAAAGCAGAAGACCGCACACATATACAGAAACACACTCGGAACCCAGGGCTAGTCGAAATAACAGCTGTGACCTGAGGAACACTTGCCTTCTTCCTGGAGAGGGTGATAAATGCAAAGCCATTGATCCTTCTGTATAAAAAAAAAAAAGAAGCCAACACCCAAATCCAAAAGGCTACAACAAAAAACCCAGCAGGGCCACCAGCTGAAAGCCAAGGAAAAGAAGATTAAAAAAAAAAAGAAATCCAAGAGAAAACCCTCTAAACAATCTCAACCAGAACAAAATGCAGAAAATAAAATAA